TCATTCAAGTCACCTTTTGCATATTTCACCTCAATAACCTTGCATCAATGGTCTATCATTTTGATAGTATGACTTGGCATCTCTTCACAATTTTTTTTATAAAGAAATAAAATGATTTTCCATAAATAAATAAAATAATAAGGGTAAATAATAAAAACTTAATTGCAATACACCTTTTATACATGCCTAATTTTTATTAGAATCTATGTACCTACTGCAGGTTATGTTTTAGTTATGGAGACTGACAGGCATTTAAATTTTTAATTTTCCAGGTTTCTTTTTTAATTCTTTTCTTACTTTAAAACATTTCTTCTTTATTGTCTATTCATTTTGCTTATTATACTCCATTCTTTACAAAGTAAATCCAGCAACCCATTATTTCCTATCCCCCCTTTTTAAGCTGCACTGTCAGTCCTTTTTTCTCTATTCTGTAAAACCCCATAACCGACAGTCGGGTATTGTTTATTCCAACAGGTAAAACAGATATGCATTACGTAACTTATGTCTGTAACATTTGCTCTAGTCTATTTTCCAACCTCACCTGTGCACCCAGCAGGTGATCATGGATGTACACAGATTCGACACATATTACGCAATATTGCGTATTACCTATGTCTTATCTATCATCACCTGGGGGCATGACACCTGTAGCTTTCAACTTCAAAAGGTAACCCAGCATTGCGGATAAAGTGTGCCGCATACCTGTAACTTCTGATCGATGTTTATGGATGTATGTCCAATTTCAGTGTACACACCTGCACACGTGAACAGGTAGTGAGATACACTAAGGAGTTACACGATACCAAATTTTACTGATATATACTGTAAATTCAGAAATTATTGCGTGCATTTATTATTGCGATTTTGTCATTTTAGATTAAAATACGATTTAAATTTTTGCGATATTTAGAAATATCCTGTTCATTTCATATAAAAAAATTCAAAATGCGAGTTTAAATTATTGCGATAATAAACTTGTCGCATTTTTCGCAAAAATAAAAACATCGCAATAATTTCTGAATTTACAGTACTGAGATATATTGGGCTATACACAAATATGACGAAACTATAAAAAATAATATTATTAAAAAGGGACGCAAAAAAATATTTGCGAAGATAAAAAAAAAATATTTACGTCAGCCTTTCTCCGCTTCTCATAAGCTCCCCGCTTAGGTATAGGTGGCCTTGGCTCAGCTGTTGTTGGTTGTGTCAATGGAATGTCAGGTACCGCATTTGGACGGAGTTTTGGCTTCATGGTAGGACAACCCTCGAGATTCTTCATAACTTCTGGGTCACGATCGTAACATGCATTTGTAAAGTGGGCGGAACAAAGTCTATGACCAGTACTTGGTAGGAAGTCCCATCTCTTACAATAGTGTGTCCACGCCTTCCTGGTTTGCGGGTTACTCGGAAAACGGAAAAACCTAATTAAACTGTCCTTCTTATGCCTATTGTAGCATCCACTGGCAGCACACAGAACCATTTTTAATCACTGTCATGGGTTTTGTTGGAAGATATTCGAAAATAAAATTGCGCTAATTATGCCTATACACCCGTCAGTCAAATATGATTGATGAAACCACTGACGTCACAGCCTCGTTCTGAGTGACTTCCGGGATTGAAATATGCATAATTAGTATGTCGACAGATCGATACATTTAAATTTATATTTTATCCATTTAAACGATAATTATATTGCTTTCGATGTTTTTTGGGGGGTAATTATGTATAAATAAATATTTATTTAAAAAAAAAAAAAAAAAAAAATCATGTCACATCTCCTTTAAGGAGGGGTATTTGCGAAAAATACCAGTCGAGAGAATACTTTATCTTTTAGTTGAGATTTTTATGTGATAAATGGGAGATAACTCAATTTATACTTTGATCAGTCACTCATTTAAAATTATATTATACGTCCGATACTTACGTTCAGTATATAACATGTTTCGCTTTTCCTGACGTTCAAATATGTATCTCGCAAATATTTAAATCAGTGAACTAAGAATTAATCTAATATGTCTCTACTACAGACATAACAAGATAGTTAGTACAACTTTTAAAATCATTTGGTTTTGACAATAGAAGTAAAAAAAGTTAACATGCTGGCTTTTTCATATACTCTTTAAAACATATATATAAAACACGAACATTTTTCAGTTTTTCTAATGAAATGTGTCCTATGATGAAAAATGATATACATTTTACTTTAAGATGCTTAACATACACATCTACATGCATTAGGTAGTATGACTTTAAGATGATAAACATACACATCTACATGCATTAGGTAGTATGACTTTAAGATGCTAAACATACACATCTACATGCATTAGGTAGTATGACTTTAAGATGCTAAACATACACATCTACATGCATTAGGTAGTATGACTTTAAGATGCTAAACATACACATCTACATGCATTAGGTAGTATGACTTTAAGATGCTAAACATACACATCTACATGCATTAGGTAGTATGACTTTAAGATGCTAAACATACACATCTACATGCATTAGGTAGTATGACTTTAAGATGATAAACATACACATCTACATGCATTAGGTAGTATGACTTTAAGATGATAAACATACACATCTACATGCATTAGGTAGTATGACTTTAAGATGATAAACATACACATCTACATGCATTAGGTAGTATGACTTTAAGATGCTAAACATACACATCTACATGCATTAGGTAGTATGACTTTAAGTGGAGTTAAAATAATAACCTCCGCAACCGTTAACATATTTTACGGACAGCGGCCAACTTTTGAAAACATGCATAAGTTAATATCATGAATCTGCCATTTGTCATATGCTAAAATACATGTTCGGATGACCATACTAAAATAATGTTATGATAGTACGTTGCGACATATTACTTTTCGTACAATCCAGCTATCATTATTACGTTACGGAATAACTGTCCTAACTAGCATACCACTGACCCCAACCAACTGTAGATCAATAAGAAGTAAGCAAATACCACGCATTCTACGTCAAAGTTGTATTTCCACATTTACAGTGTCATTGTATTATGTACACTGTTACTGACATACTGCTAACATTGTCTTTAGTATATATTGTCTGATACATATTTTATTTGCATGTTGTTTCTATATCTTTTTTAGTATTACGTATATACTTTCTCCATTTCGTTTCATTCATCCTGCCAAACCTCAGCTATTGTTTACTTACATAGTACTTTTATAGTGAAAAAAAAACAAAAATCGAACAAAATACAAGAACGAGCACTCAGATTTATTTACGACCACTACAAAAACTCTACCAACACCCATCATGAACAGTCTAAACTACCAGCACTACAGATTAGATGGATGAGAACCAAGACATTAGAGACCTACAAAATTATAAATAAATCCAGTTCGAATTTTTAACATGTTTGTAATCATTAAAGAAAATGCACTTAATCTTAGGTCACGACCGAAAACAACGAGGTATGGTAAGAAAAGCTTGGGTGACGAGGAAGTTCAGAACTGACCTCAGTGACTTATTATTACTTTTTTATTTTCTGTTGTCAATGACAACAGGAAAAATATTAAGATAGGTCACTGAGGCCAGGGCTAGACTAGTTACGAGGAAGTAAGACTATGGAACTCATTGTCAAATGAGACAAGGGTTCTATCAACCTTTTGACAGTTCAAATATTTATTTCTATTTATAGGTGTTTTAAAGAAAATTATCTTGTACAAACATGTAGCTCATGCAAAAAATGTCATCCCTTGCTGTCCTAGAACTTAACTTAAGACTGCTGAACGTTGAGCTGCATTTATATTTATTTTTTAACTTTTAAGCTTGATATACAAGTATACTTTACAATCTTTAGCTTTAACTAATAAACTGTTTTATCTTGCTTAAACTTAAAACTATGCTTAGCTGTTTATATTCATATGCTTATGTTTCTAGAAGTGATTTAGTTTTGCATGTGCTTTGCTTATATTGATACATTATGCTTTTATTGATTGTATGTATTTATTTACTGAATATGTTGGTCTGCACTTTGTATTGCATGTGCTTTGTTTTTATTGACATCTTCTGCTGTTATTGCCTGCATGTGTTTTATATGTATATGTTGCTTTGTTATCTATATTGCATGTGTATTGTATATTGGGCTTTGTATTTGATGATATGTGCTGCTTGTATTGCTTGTATGTGCTTGTATATGTAATAGGAAAAACAAAGGATATGGGGTATCCATCCATGTCACAAAATCAGTACATGCACAGCAAAATATTTGCTATCCAATAATTGATCCTGTTTTGTTATCATACATCACTTAGAGCCCATGTTCTATTGTCGAATGTTTTTATGGACCGACTTTGAATAATGATGAGTTCACTTTTACGTAATACAAATGTACTATTCATACCCCCATTCGTCCATTGAAATGTTTGTCGAAATTTTCTCAGGAACTACCATCAAAACTTTCTGAAATTTGTAATTAAACTTCCAGTGAGCATACATCTTATTTTCATATGTTTTAATATGTAATAAATTTTCTTATCTCCCGAACACTTATATATTCTAACAAATAACGGCCATGTATGTTTTCTCAAGAACCACAAATCTGGGCTTTTTGAAGTTGCAATAAGCTTCACGTGAGTATGCCATACCGTATTGTGTGTTTTTACATCCAATGAACATCAACTTCAAGTTTAAGGAATACCTATAGCGGTTGAATCATCTGTGAGCAATATCTCATGGTTAAACTTGTTAATTTTGCAAACATAATATTTTTTTAAAATAAACATTGAAATTTAAAACTAGTAAGATGACCAATGGAAGTGTACGTTTCAAGAAATAATGAGTTTAATTCGTTTGCGGCGATTTATATTATCTTGCATAATTTGCTTAAATATATAATACCTTTACAGAAACAGACAAGTATTAAAATTGTCATATATATATAATACCTTTACAGAAACAGACAAGTATTAAAATTGTCATAAATATATAATACCTTTACAGAAACAGACAAGTATTAAAATTATCATACATATATAATACCTTTACAGAAACAGACAAGTATTAAAATTGTCATACATATATAATACCTTTACAGAAACAGACAAGTATTAAAATTGTCATACATATATAATACCTTTACAGAAACAGACAAGTATTAAAATTATCATACATATATAATACCTTTACAGAAACAGACAAGTATTAAAATTGTCATACATATATAATACCTTTACAGAAACAGACAAGTATTAAAATTGTCATACATATATAATACCTTTACAGAAACAGACAAGTATTAAAATTGTCATACATATATAATACCTTTACAGAAACAGACAAGTATTAAAATTATCATACATATATAATACCTTTACAGAAACAGACAAGCACTAAAATTGTCATACATATATAATACCTTTACAGAAACAGACAAGTATTAAAATTGTCATACATATATAATACCTTTACAGAAACAGACAAGTATTAAAATTATCATACATATATAATACCTTTACAGAAACAGACAAGTATTAAAATTGTCATACATATATAATACCTTTACAGAAACAGACAAGTATTAAAATTGTCATACATATATAATACCTTTACAGAAACAGACAAGTATTAAAATTGTCATACATATATAATACCTTTACAGAAACAGACAAGTATTAAAATTATCATACATATATAATACCTTTACAGAAACAGACAAGTATTAAAATTGTCATACATATATAATACCTTTACAGAAACAGACAAGTATTAAAATTGTCATACATATATAATACCTTTACAGAAACAGACAAGTATTAAAATTGTCATACATATATAATACCTTTACAGAAACAGACAAGTATTAAAATTGTCAAACATATATAATACCTTTACAGAAACAGACAAGTATTAAAATTGTCATACATATATAATACCTTTACAGAAACAGACAAGTATTAAAATTGTCATACATATATAATACCTTTACAGAAACAGACAAGTATTAAAATTATCATACATATATAATACCTTTACAGAAACAGACAAGTATTAAAATTATCATACATATATAATACCTTTACAGAAACAGACAAGTATTAAAATTATCATACATATATAATACCTTTACAGAAACAGACAAGTATTAAAATTATCATACATATATAATACCTTTACAGAAACAGACAAGTATTAAAATTATCATACATATAGTTAAATGAATTTTAACCGAATACACTGCAACAAGTTTTAAAAGGTATTCAAGTATGATTAATCATAAACAAGTTTATTCCTTATTCCCTTTATTTTAAATTCTAGTAGGTTTCAATTTTAACAACTTTCAGATTTGAACCTTTCGAGTAATTTAAAACAAGTACATTGCACTTTTTCCGTAATAAACTATTCAGGCAATGCAAAGTATAGTTGTGTAATACATTAGACTTTGTCTTGTATTTTAGAACACTTTTGTTTCTGCTTAATGTTGTATATAGCAATATGAAGATGTGTTATGACTGTTATAACTGCCAATGAGACAACTTTCCAACAGAGACCAAATGACATAGAAGTTCACAACTATAGGTCACCGTATCGCATAGTTAGCGATAACAGGCACAAAAAGGACAAATGTTAAACAATTCAAACGAGAAAACAAACGGCGTGAATTATGCAAAAAAAAGCAATGAACGAAATACAAATATGATATACAGCAACAAAACACAATCACTGAATTACAGGATCGATCCTGACTTGGGACAGGCACATACAGAATGTGGCGGGGTTAAGCATATTAGTGGACGAGGAGGAGTTTCGCTGACAAGGCAAATGGACAGACGGACAAACAGATGGACTGACTCACTAAAAAATACCACACCCGCAATACTATTAGTATATTAAAGTTAATAAACTCTATTGTCTCCCCATTTTTACATGTTTGACCTAGATCCCACACTAGTGTTCTAAAATGGTGTAAAGTTTCATCACGATCGCAAAGTCGTTTAAGATTGTTTCGCTGAAAAGGCACGTGGAGAGACAGACAGATAGAATGACGGGGCTATACTTATATACCCCCCACAACTTTCGGGAGGAATACCAAAAACACTTCTGTTAATGTTGGTCATCATCTTAAAGTAATAATAATAGGTCTTCATTACAAATTTAAAGCTCAAATCAAGGCAGCTCCTAACAGATGTATTAGTAGATGATGGATGACGATCACGCGCTACAACTGGACCTTGAAGAACACAGCGGCTGATAACGATTTGCAAATTATAAATCTTTAAGTGATCGTCTAATCGACATAAGAAATAGAAAGGCTGAGTATTAAATAATCTATTATAACACAACCATATGTAAATATGCTAGTCGCAAGTCAGAAAACTCGCTAGTATTTGCCTTTGTTTGTATATTTAAAGTTTGTTCTACACTTTAAAGACTTTGAAGTTATTGGCAGACTTCTGCTATTCCTATTTCTATGACTTTGTCTAGACTCGGGGCAATTTAGAGCATTTCGTATTTTTGTATAAAATAGACTCTTTGACATTGTACAGACCGTGTGCGGTCATGCGACTTCTATTCTTATAATGTGTCATTGGCATACTGTTTTATTGGAGAATATCCAAAATCATACTATTGGTATCGGTATCGGATTCGACCCGGAACTTATAAATTATTGGTGATATTAATTATGTGGAAAAAAAAGGGCCTGAAATGGTATAATTTTAAAACAACACCATTGTCTTACATTAGTTATATATAAAGATGAATTCTTCGATTCGTCGTTTTTACGTCATGCCGGCTAACAAATTGGACCTCGTTATTTAGTAGTATAGATAAAACAAATAAATATGTCAACAGAGAAAAAAAAAAATACAAAAACTGACGATAGCACAATAACAGAAGTAATAGCTTTTCTAAAAAGCTAGCCGTCTCATAGCTGATGAAAGTGGAAAATGTTTTCGCTTTGTAGTTTAATTCCTTTAGAATAGCCTTGTATATAAATTGTAGTGGATTACAAAAATTATACAAGACTTATACAATTTTTTAGATTTACCTAATTCTTTTTTTTGGGAATGTCTTAAGCATCTGCGTTTGTACCTTTTTATCGATTATTTTTTTTTCATTTACTTTTCTTCGGTTGTTTGTTTATTTCTTTGTGTTAGAAAAGTATGGCCGCTTCCACCTGAATGTTTTTCATTCATAATAAGCATCGAAAAGTGTAGAGAGTGAAACGTAGTAAAATTTTAACATCTTTTCAAAATGATCCTTAAATTGTAAAGCTTTACATAGGTATGGTCATTTTTTGTTGTCGTTGAAGATCTTTTTCTATTCATTGTAGTTGGACTGCAATGTGGAGTGCCGCACGCCTCTTTTTCTGTAGTTGAATAATGAGTATCCTTACATATACATGTACATGGTTCTCTTTTGAGATTATTTTGTTTTATTGGACTTCTTGAATATACTTTTTTTGAGAAAAAATACTCAAAAGGATTATTTCTTATACAAGACCTAAGGTGATAAGTTCTGCAATGCTATTTTAGATTTCACTATGAGGCCATCAACATAATAGAATCAACAAATTTGTTCAAAAACGTTATCAAGCATACAGTTTGACCCTGTATCGTTTGTAATTGTTTCACTTGTACATGTCTTCACATTTATTTACTATACCATATAATGTTGGGTGTCGAATAGGCCCTTATCGTACTTACATTGTACCCTTCAAAGCTTAACATACTGGATTGACATAATATTTTTAGGGAGACCGTTAGAATGTTGACATATAAATTTCTTTTTGTTTTATGATCATATATATATAGTATATTTATGTTTATACTTGTTTTACAATTCTTGTAGAAAACGTACAATTAAGAATAATCTTTTAAAGAAATGCCAACAGTATGTTTGTCTTTTAAATTTATAATTAGGTCTTTCCACTTTTCTGTGGAAAGACTTATTGTATTTGTTCTGATTATTAGGTCTTTCCACTTTTCTGTGGAAAGACCTATTGTATTTGTTCTGATTATTAGGTCTTTCCACTTTTTTGTGGAAAGATCTATTGTATTTGTTCTGATATTGAATATAATTCAGTAATCTATTTATTCATTCTGTACAAAAAGTCATGTGTGATGTTGAGTTGTTATCAATATGTATACAGTTGGGTGCAGTCCAAACATTACATGTAGACACGCGGAAAAAGTTAACGTGGCGTTTACTGGCGTGCACTTCATGTAAACGCCGCGTTAACTCTGCGTGTACTCTTAAATTTTAGTAGACATAAAAAGTAAACGGGAGTTTACTTTCACGTTTACCTCTACGTTAACGCGAAAAAGGCGCGTCTTCTTATTTTGTTCATAGTAAACGGGCGTTTACTTCCGCATTTACTTCCGCGTTAACGTGAACGTGGCGCGTTCTCTGTTTTTTTTTTGTTAAAAGTAAACGCACGTTTACTACTGCTGTTGGGTTACACTAATGACTGGACCAATGATAGGACAATGATAAAACAATGACACGACCAAAATGGAAATGCTTATATTTTTTTTTTATCATAGTGTTTAAATTAAATTTGAACTATGATAAAATTTCACTATTTAATATCTAAATATATAAAAAAAAAACGAAAAAATATTTTCAAAGCTTGCGAAAACGTGACCTGATTGACTTTGACAATGACCGGACTAATCTCGACAATGACAGGACCAAATGAAAGTGGAAATACCTTTTTTTTATTTCTCAAAAAAACCATCAAAAATTTTAAATATAATAAGCCTGATAATTGTGTTCTTTTTATACCTCAGAATGAATTGTAACTGGTGAAGAAATTTCAGTTTAAAATTGCAAAACTTTGATGTCGCATAAAAAAATGGTGCAAATATTTTTCATTTTGTTAGAATATTATACAACGGCATGAAAATTCTGTTCTTTTGTCCTTAAGGATGAATAGTTTTAAACAAATTGAGAGCTCTATAAGTCTACGGTTACTAATATTTAATATTTATTTAAAAAAAAAAAAAAAATTGTTGTTGCATAAAAAAAAAGTTGTCAATATTTTCCATTTTGTTCAAATATTATACAATGGCATCAAAATTCTGTTCTTTTTTACCCTAAAGATGAATAATTTTACACATATTGAAAGTTCTATAAGTCTACAGTTACTTATCTTTATGTTGATTACAAAAAAATATCGATATTTCTTTCTTTTTTTATTAATATTCTGGTACTGGCCTGATAATTGAGTACTTTTTATACACAGGATGGAAATGTTAGACATAAAAGTAAAGAAATTTAAGGTTAAAATTGCAAAATTAGTTGTCGCAAAAAACAAAGGTGTCAATATTTTCCATTTTGTTAGAATATTATAAAAAGGCACTAAAATTCTGTTCCTTTTATCCTTAAGGATGAATAGTTGTACACAAATTGAGAGCTCTTTTAGTCTATGGTTACTTATATTTATGTCAATAACAATAAAAAGTGACAATACATGTATTTCTCTTTTTTATTATAATTCTAGTACTGGCCTGATAATTGAGTACTTGTTATACCTCAGAATGGATTGTTAGACATTAAAATGAAGAAATTTTAGTTGAAAATTGCAAAATTTGTTGTCGCATTAAAAAAAGTTGCCAATATTTTCCATTTTGTTAAAATATTATACAATGGCATTCAAATTCTATTCCCTTTGTTCCTAAGGATACCTAGTTTTACACAAATTGAGAGCTCTATAAGTCTACGGTTACTAATATTTATGTTGATCATGTTGATAACAATAAAAAGTGACAATATTTCTAATTGAGTACTTATTATACCTCAGGATGGACTGTTAGACATAACAATGAAGAACTTTA